ACATCAACGACTTATTTCCGTATTGTGCTCACTAGATTTATCGCGCGGTCTCCACAACTTCTAGCGTGGTCATGGGTTTGTAGAGCACTTGTTTGATTTTGTAGGTGCTGCATAATCATCGGCATGCACTGCGCTCAGTGGAAGGCGCCCTCGCTACATTAGGAAGGCCATCGAGTTGTAGTTGCTGGCAAGCAACAAGGCAGCGCAGCCTTCAAGGCTTTAAACAAGTTTTGCCCTTTCTACAGTAAAGGGACTGGGATCAGTCACCAGAGATTAAAGTAGTTAGACCCCAAAGCAGCGAAAACGTGGCGCAAGGAAGGACGGCGATATGGTTACATTCGGTCGTAGCAGCCTTATTAGCACCCCAGTTCTAAAGAAGGCGGTCCCCCTAACATCATCCCCCTTCCTTGGAGCAATTGAAGGAATAATTTTCATCTCTGTTAAATCACATTCAGCTTACAATGGGCAGGCGGCCCGCCGCATGCCGCCAGTACACCGCATTGCGCTTCCGTGTTGCTGCCTTAAGCGTAGCTCTGAGGTACAGGCACAATTTGTTCGCCAATGGACGAACTGCTGTACAGAGGCAGGCATCTGCCCTCCACTAGCGTCTTTAGGCAAAATTCAGTGCTGAACAAAGATACAAAGGAGAGTAGAGGCTTTTATATTCGCAAAACGCTTTCACGTCGATCAGCGCCACACAGCCTTCCATCCTACCGTTGGAGTAGGGTTGGCGGTTCGTACCTGCGCCTCTTAGCCATGCAGTGCCACCAAGTGTAATGAAGGTCCTCGATTTTAGCATAGAAGTGTCGTGAACTGCAATCGGGTCGAAAGGCTTGATATGAGCGCTTCAAAGGAGAACAGGGCATCACCCCTAGTTTCCAGGCTCATGAGCACGGCGTCACCAAGGCCCGGCGCGGGTAAGGACAGAAGTCCACCTGCCATGAGCTGCAGCACACCTTGTTGTTGAAAGGCAACCAAAGGTGCAAGCATAACCAACTCCCCTTGGCGGCGTGCGCCGATGCCATGTCAAATTATCGAACACTCTTTTGTTCCACAGTAGTCTGTCGGTACGCGGGTAGAAGAGTACCACCACCTCCAGACAGGCCATCCTCCACGAACTACAGTGACGCTGGGTTTGCAAAACTAGGGACGTTTCGCATTGCGCAGCATCACAAGCTTGTCAGTGACTTGATAACTACTACCTGCAATCCGTGCTGAGTACCTGCTACACCTTAGCCTGTGAGAAGGCTAAGGGGTAACGTAATCAGCAGATAATACAGATTCCAGTGTCGTGCATCGTTGCCCCCGCGAAGCTGTCATCCCAAGATTCTCCACTCGGTAAATCAGTCAAAATTTCATGTGCAATGAATCCGGTTAATTAATTCTGGATATGCAGCTTAATATTAGTATCGATGAGTAAGCTTCCGCAGTCGTGTACGTGCGGTGCGAAGCACACTCCGTCTGCGTTGGCTAAACAGGAACGCCGTGTTTTAACGGGGAAAATACACATTATATGGCATTATAACCACATAATACAACATTACAACCGCTATTCACTTCGCTGGGTTGGTAATCGCCTACAAGCGGAGTGGAAGACCCCATATGTGTACGGCGCAATTCCACAGCTGCGAGTAACTGCCAAGACCCACCACCGTCTGCAGTGCTCGCCTTCCCCCCTCCGCGGCGGTGTCCCGCCCTTAGCAGTGCGGTTTGGTTCACCGAACAACTTAAGAAGCTCAGTTGAACAATTTTATTCCCACTCGTGTAGTGTTTGTCTGCGAGTTCCCAGCTCGACTGTCCCTGCTTCTGAATCTCGGGTTTCGCCGAGCATCGAAAATGCCGCTTACTTTGGGGGATGTCTTCCCAAACTTCGACGCTGAAGCGTTGGGGGTTGAAAGCTTCAATCTCTACAACTATTTGGGTGACAGCTGGGGAATTATGTTCAGGTAAGACGACCGGGGTCACACCCTTCACCCTGGAAATGTTTGTCCTGGGCCCAATATGCATCACCGCCTGTCCCAGCTGACGGGGGATTTTTAGGTGTGGAATCTATTCTTGATCATAGGAAGGCGTTGACTAGGGCGTGTTAGTCGGGAGTATGTGCGAGGGTATGTCTGCAGCCATCCCAATGACTTCACTCCCGTGTGCACGACGGAGCTCGCAGAGGCCGTCAAGCTCCACAAGAAGTTTGCGGAGAAGAAGTGCAAGCTTGTCGGGTTTTCGTGTAATGATATGAACAGTCATAAGGTGAGTGGAATTAGGCGGCCTAAGCAACCACATACAGAGTCCATCCTCCATGGAAACTCATGGTTTCCGTATCCCACCTAGACAAGAGTGGAACGAGCTGGAAACGAGCTGGAGAGCAGTTTTTCCCATTGTGGATGTGTTTTGACGTATTTGAGTTCCTTAGTGACATTTTGAGTGCCCTTGGAGAATGCGGAGGACACCTGATTTGCTCTTACGTCATCATCGCTGCACGTTGTTGCGCAGGGGTGGGCTAAGGACATTATCTCTTACGGGGGAGCTACTGGAGAGCTGCCATATCCAATGGTGTGCGATCCA